GAAATGTCAAAAATGTGGCAAATGAGGACATCCATAATTTCAGTTGTAGTTGGAGTCCTCGGATTGATTGGAAAATGTTCCGATAGACTAAATAAAGGGACTCCTGGAAGCCCATGCCTTAAAGAAATACAAAAGATTGTACTCACAAGTACAGCTCACACATTACAAAGGGCTTTGTCTATGTAAAATGTGTGTGATCTTAGGATTTTTTGATTTTTTTTACAAAAATAATCACTGGAAAAATGTTATGAAGCCATTTCTGACCTTAGATCTCTGGTTGGGACCCGGAAGGAAATGTGCATACTACAGAAATCAAAGAAAATACTACTACTACTACTAGGAGTAGTAGTAGTAGTAGAAGTAGTAGTAGTAGTAGTAGTACTAATAATAATGACTATAAATTAAGTAGGATTAACGAAAATTTAAAAGTTAATCAGTAAAATGGAGTATATATATATATATATATATATATATATATATATATATATAATATATATGTGTGTGTGTGTGTGTGTGTGTGTGTGTGTGTGTGTGCGAGTGAATGAAAAAGAAAGAGACAATTTGTTCATTTTGTTGTCTGGTGAGAAGAACAATTAGAATTGAATCTAAAAATATAAATTGGAAAAATGATGCAGCCGAAACAAATCATTAACTAAAAGGTAAAATAAACACAAGCAAAGAAAATACGAAGGTAAAAATTTACTCCAAGGGAATGTGTAGTCGTTCGGCCTCCTGTGGCTCTGCTTGGCGCTAAAATCCCGATCCCCGAGTAATCGCTGCAGGTAAGAAGGGCGCCAACAGGAAGAGTAATGGCCGAAATCAACCGAAGGAAAAATCAGAATGTTTGAAAATGGAACAACTTGTTTAAATGATCTGTCGATGAGTCAGTCTCAAACTGTGGATTACTTTTTAGACAAGTAAGTCTACTTCATCAAATGTTATCACCATAAATTAGAATTCGATTGGGTATTAATAGATCTGGCCGAGATCCTTTGTTCTTTAGCTAAATCACATCGAGTGGATATTTAAGAAGAGCATGCGTAGAAAGAAAAAGCTTCTAAAATCGTCCTGATGTTTTTCTGTTCATGAACATATATTAGAAAAATCATCATTCACCTTTTTATTCAGTGGCTATGGATCTTCGTGGTGATGTAATGGATCTTCGTGGTGATGTAATGGATCTTCGTGGTGATGTAATGGATCTTTGTGATGATGTAATGGATCTTCGTGGTGATGTAATGGATCTTTGTGATGATGTAATGGATCTTCGGTGCCAGCATCAGTTACTTTATGTGCAAGTTATAACAACAACAAAGATGAAGACAATGGTGTGATTTTGAATAATGTAAAAAGTTTCTTGCTGCATTTTCTTTTTTTATTCTTTTTTTTTTGTTAATCTTCTTTTTGTAATTCTTTTCTTGTTATTATTTTTTCTTTGTTATTTTTTCTTTCTAATTCTTTTTTCTTTGTTAACCTTTTTTGTAATTCATTTTTTGCTTTTTATTTTCTTTTCTTTGCAATTCTTTTTTGTTGTTATTTTTTTCTTTTATTTGTAATTCTTATTTTTTTAATTATTTTTTCTTTTTTCTTCATTTTCTTTCTTATTCTTTTTCCTTTGTTACTATTTTTTGTATAATTCTTTTTTCTTTTTTATTCTTTTTTCTTTTGTAAGTCTTTTTCTTTGTCATTATTTTCCTTGATATACTTTTTTTCTTTTTCATTTTTTTCTGCACATTTAAGAATATTTAGTGCAATTTTACTATAATCAAATCTGTAGAACTGGATTTAAAAAAAATTACCATTTTATTTTCTAATATAAATGCTGGTGTATATGGATTCACATTTCGTTTCATATATGGCAATTACTTCAATCTGAACCATAATGGAAAAAGATGCTACCAGAAATTAAAGTTAAAAATTAAAGTTCTGAATTTTAGGATAATGCTGTTCGCATACAATCGATATGATTTGTGTTGTAAAAATTTCCAAGAAGAAATTTTTTATATTCTCGGAAGGAATCCATCTTCAATAAACATTTGAAGATTGATGAAAAATAATCCAAAGTCAAGTCTAATTGACTGAAACTATTTATATCATTTAAGATGGATTGGCAGAAAGAAAAGAACGATAAATGCGTTACATTTTAATTGAATGACAATCCAATTGGGAATCATATGGGAGTTTTTTTTAATCATATTCATGTTTAGGAAAATAATCCATTTTTGTATTCTATCATCCCTTGGGATAATAAATGAATTTTAAATAAGATATGAAGATAATCTCCACAATATCTGGATGCAGATGTCAAGTTGAACCATAATGCAAACCTGTACAATCATCCCTAAATATTTGTGAGGAAGGTTTACAGCTAGTGGAGCGATTGTTTAATCAGTTTCCTTCATTGTGGCTTCAAATAAATCTCGTGCTACATCGATACGCGAATCAGCTGTAAATGTGCCTCTAAAATTTAGTTAGGTTTCAATTTGGTGAATAAAAACAACGTCGTCTTGCGTGTTATGACAGCTGCCTTTCTGCTGTGAAAATGGCATTAAGTTGAACCTGTTGAAGATGGGGACCATATGTCTATTCTCTCTACCTCTTCTTTTCAGTTAATCTTTTCCAAACATCTAGATCACATCCTTTAAGACAAGACCTTCCTTTTAAGGTGATGCCTATTTTCATATACCTGGTGATTATTTGCATGCATGTGTAACTCTGAGAGCTGAAAATTAATCTATAATAGTAATTTTACACAAAGATGAACATGGAAGATGTGGCGCCGATCTTTGTTACTAATAAAAATAATAATAAATAATGGCAATATGAGATTTTCGCGGAATCAGTTTTGGGTAGAAATTACCATTTTCGGTCGAACTTTAAAAGAGATACAATTTTAACTAAACACCATATAAACCAGGACAAGCAATTGAAGGGTTATATATAAATATCTATTTACTTCTAGAAACAATACCATCAAAGGTGCCGGTGGCCTAGCGTTTGGTAGCACGAAAAATTCAATCAGTGATAATCTGTGTTCATTTAGCACTAATGTCTTTAGGGAACTGACATTGAGAAAAATTATTGATTAAAAAGATTTCACAGATAATAATTACGCAAATATTTTGAAAAAGGGCATTTTCCCATAGTTTTTCCTTCAATTCTAATATAATTTTTTAATATCAAATATTTTTAGATTTTTGTGAAATTTTATGAAATCGGAATGAAAACATTTTCTTAATTGAAACCGACAATCCTGATAGAATCGACATTAATGAACCAACCGAAGCATCTTTTTAAGGCACTTGTAATCCTTTTATGCATATCGAAAACCAGGCAATGTAGGGTACTTCAGCTAGTAAATGCGTAGGGGTTAAGTTATTCTTTTTCCAAACATCTAGATCACATCGGTGTTACGGAAGTAATTAAAAATTCAGAGCCTAGGAGCTGATATCTCATATAACGGGTGTATTGGTTCGTAACAATCAAGGCCTCAAAAACCAAGCTAGTATCATTTCATCGTCACCGATGATATTTTAGGATTTCTTCAGTCACAATGGATGGTTACTTCATGAGGCGACATGCTTTGGACGTCTATTCCAATAATCCAGACCACAAATGGAGCTCATATATATATAATCCATTGCTAAAGATACTCGAAAAATGGCCGGCTTATTGTACCGCTTCAGAAACAACCGAACTCCTCCTGACATGCTTTATGGTCCCAAAATTACACCCCAATCAGCGAAATAAAGGGTTCAGTTCGACATTCCGACCACCTAAAGAAGGCCGGAGCGTACAACGTCAGAAACGTTGTAATAAATATGGCGAGGACAATAGTCCGAATAATGTAAATAGTGTACATAATATCTCATCTCAGAAACATAGACAAAAATATCTACCAAGATATTATTACATTGAATAAAAAAGATATTACATTAAATAAAAATTGAATAGATATCATGTGAGCGTGAAAGCGAAATAAACTTGTATTATCATTGTTCAATGATAAGTACGTTTTTCGGGATTACTTTTTATGTCTTGTGGGCGTATGTCATGATTCACTATTCTTAAAGATTTGATAGAAATCAGTCCTGTCTACATACCACGCGTGCGAATAACGTTTGTATGTTAGAAAAAAAGAGAGACGAATGACAACTATTCCACCGGTGACACGGGTATATAGCACTAAGGTCAATTACACGGCAAACGCCACGTTCCTCGCCGAAACACTTTCTCTTCTCTCTGTCATGCCCTACGTCATGTCAACGGTAAAGCTCCTTCCGTAGAAACGATAATGACAACCGCCTTCTCCTTCATATATTACCTTCTCTCCCCGCTGTTGGCTTCTTTATAAAAAGAACTGTTTCTATGTTTCCTTTTTCATTTTCTTCGAATTTTTCTCGTCTTTTCTTTGCTTCTTCCTATTTTTCTTTTCTTCCGTCTCTCTTTTTCTTCTTCCTTTTCTCTTTTCTAACAGCTTTACTTTCCTTCTTCCTTTCATTTTTTCTTTTGTTTTTCCTTCTTTTCCTTCCTTTTGTATTTCCTACAAATTTATTTTTTCTTTCTTTCTTCCTTTTTATCTTTTTTGTTTTTTTATTCTTCCTTTTCTTTTTTCTTCGAATATGTTTTTCTTTCCATTTTCGCCGAAATTTTATTTTCTTTCTTCCTTTTTTTTCTTTCTTTAGTCTTTCGTTCCTTTTCTTATTTTTTTTTATTTCATTCGACATTTTCGTCTTTTTCTTTTTTATTTTCGTCGAAATTTTCTTTTCTTGCTTTTTTCTGTTTCTTCATGTTTTTTTTTAAAATTCTTTCTATTTATTTATTACTTTTTTCCGTCTTTTTTTTAATCCAGCATGTCTTTCCCGTCACCCTAACCCTAACCCTCCCGTCACCCTCCAACTCCAGACATTCTTGTCTGCAACCTGCACTTACCGGTTCTAACCTCTTCCCTACATCGTTTTTTTTTTTTTGCTAACTCTTCATATTGTTGCCAAGTCACTTCAGTAGATAGATAGATAGATAGATAGAGAGATAGATAGAGAGAGAGAGAGAGCGGGGGAGGCTATAGAGAAATTGAAAAAAAAAACTTGTCAGTTGTCATTCAAAAACGTCGAAAAGTGTCTCGAGCAAAACGCCTTAAGAATATCCCTTAGCCCCTACCCAATTCTTTTAGGACCCAAAACTTTACATGACACGTAGAAACTGAAAAACATCAGAAAGAAAACATATATGAGATCACTTTATATTTTTACCAAGCGTAGATATGTCTGGCACAAGGTCATTTTAGTGGGTAACCAATACTATTCAATTTTTGAAAATCATTTCACCCAAAGTAAACCAATAAAAGGCATTAGAATGTAAGAGGTTCCTTTGAGTAAAACAAATTGAGAGGACAATAAAGGAGTAAGATTCAAAGTGGCAATATGACGATTAACATCGCATTTAAATATTTGAACATCGTAGTTGGCAGAAAAGCTGGAAGTCGGAAGAAAGTTCCACAAGCGAGAAGTGCGAGAGAAGAAAATGTCAGAATAGAACCTATGGTTACAACTAGCAATTCTAACAGTGAAATTAGATCAGGCTGTTAATCTGCCAAGCACCGCGCTTAAATTCCTGAAGTTGTGATACCAATGTGAAAATCCCATCAGAACAAATTACCATGAAAATATTTATAGAAGAGTCAATGGACGTCAGGTCGCGATCGATAGCATTGCAGATTCTTCTTTGGATTTTATCAAGAATCTTTAGACATAACAGTAGAGCTAGCCCAGATGTGACATCAATATTCGATGCGCAGACGTTAGCTAAACTGTGTTAAGATGCCAGTTCATCTGCCTTGCTAACCATGTTTCTTAGATAGAAAGCCTAGAAGTTATTTACGTTAATTAAATGAGAATCTAGTTAGGATCGATTTTTGACTTATTAAATAGGGCGAATGAAGCGGATCTGGTTATAATTTAAAGCCCTGTATTACTAAATGTTGAATTTATTTTCTTATCGTGTTTTGCCCAAATTGGACAATTTTATTTTTAAAGTAGCCTAAAACGTCGCAAATTACGAAATTAAAAATTTATTTGAGTTGCACTTTGAAAAGTAGTTACTCAATCTGATATTTATGCTCACGACACGGATGTGGTTTGTTTTGTTTTGTTTTTTATAATTAAAATGACTGTTTTCAGAAGACGCCCAGTCCATGCATACGGAATAGATGGACCTTGATAGCTAATTAAATTTTGATTTTTTCCAGTTTACCTACTAAAACAACTTTCATATTATTGTCCTCATTACTATAATCTGTATATTCCAGCTTACTCTCCCCAACAAATTATTTTTGAATATATTTTCCAACCTACCGTTTTATTGCAACCTAACGTTTTTTTTTTATTTAAACCTGTCTTTCTATTGTGGATTTGCGGAAAGTGTAACCTTATCGGCGCAGTAGGTGAAATTGAGAGTACCAAAAGACATTGAAAGATCATCATTTCAAGTACGAATAGAGGTTCAAAGCAATGAGCAACATTTAGAGTTCCAGTAGATGTTTAATGTAAGGAGCCTTTTCCCGAGTCCAAATAAACTTTTAAAGTAAAGAGTTACATTGAATGTCCCAATGGGCATTTAAAGCAAGGAGCCTTATTGAATGTTCCAAGAGATGTTCACAACAAGGAGCGTCAGTTAAAATAAACGTTTAAAGCAGGAAGCCTCACTGAATGTCCAGATGACCATTTAAAGCAAGAAACGTCATTGAGAGTTTTAAAAGACGTTCAAAGCAACAAAAAAAATTCATCGAGAGTCTCAAAAGACGATCAAAGCAAAGTGCTTCATCGAGTCTCAAAAGTCGTACAGATCAAATTGCTTCATCGAGAATCTAAAAGACGTTCAAAGCAAAAAAAAAAACTTCATCGAGAGTTTCAAAAGATGTTCAAAAGAATATGGTTCACCGAGAGTCTCAAAGAGCTTCATTGATTGTCCCAAAAGCCTTTCAAAGTAAAGAGCTTCATCACCAGTCTCAAAAGACTTTCAAAGCAAAGTGCTTCATCGAGAGTCTTAAAAATCGTACAAAGCAAAGTGGTTAAATGAGAGTCTCAAAAGACGTTCAAACAAGAGTTGCAAATGACGTTCAAAACAAAGTACTTCATCGAAAGTCTCAAAAGATGTTCAAAACCAAAAGCTTCACCGAGAATCTCAAGACTTTCAAAACAAACAGCTTTATTGATAGTCTCAAACGTCGTTCAAAACAAGGCGCCTCATTGAGACTCTCAAAAGACGCTCAAAGCAAAAAGCTTCATCGAGAGTCTCAAAAGACGTTCAAAACAAGGCGCCTCATTGAGACTCTCAAAAGACGTTCAAAGCAAAGAGCTTCATTGATAGTCTTAAAAGTCGTTCAAATCAAGGCGCCTCATTGAGACTCTCAAAAGACGTTCAAAGCAAAGAGCTTGATCGAGAGTCTCAAAAATCTTTCAAATAAGTAGCTTCATCGAGAGTCTCAAAAGACGTTCAAAACAAACAGCTTCACCGAGAATCTCAAGACTTTCAAAACAAACAGCTTCATTGATAGTCTCAAAAGTCTTTCAAAACAAGGCGCCACATTGAGACTCTCAAAAGACGTTCAAAGCAAAGAGCTTCAACAAGAGTCTCAAAAATCTTTCAAATAAATAGCTTCATCGAGAATCTCAAAAGACGTTCAAACAAACAGATTCATCTAGAGTCTCAAAATCGTTCAAAGCAAAGTGCTTCAACGAGAGTCAAAGAAGACATTCAAAGCAAAGTGGTTCTTCAACAGTCTCAAAAGATGTTCAAATAAATAACTTCATCGAGAGTCTCAAAAGACGTTCAAAGCAAAGAGCTTCATCAAGAGGCTTAAATGTAGTTCAAAGCAAGGCGCCTCGTTGAAAATACAAATAGCCGTTCAATGTAATGAGCAATATTGAGTGTTACAATCATAGTCTCTTTAAGCTCCGGTTGATATATATATATATATATATATATATATATATATATATATATATATATATATATATATATATCCTACTCTTATAGTATTCGCTTGCTTCCAGCACCCTCCTTAGAATTTCGCTTCATAACCCTCTACCATGAATAGATTTTGGACTTAGTATTGGATGACGTAAAGACGATCGAAACGAGTTAATTGAATATTCCCAGCTGACTTCGAAGAAATCAATCACATTGAGTGTCCAAATATACCTTCAGAGAAAGGATCCTTATTTATACGACAATGGCATCTGATAGGATAATTTTAAAAGTTTAGTTAAATTTATTATTTGGTCGTTCGTTTTACTCCACTTGAACCATATTTTCCTTGGCGCTTATTGCCAGATCCGACAACGTATTTGCTCTCTTTTTCACTGTATCAATATTTTATTAATTTATTAATTTTTTCACAAGTATTTTATTTATTTCAAACTTAATTTGTTTGTTTTTTGTTGTTATTTTTTTTTTTTTTTGTTACGTTTCTTTTTTTCATCTTTGCCGCTAATCTCCGTTCGACACTTTAATACCTATTTGAAAATAAAGAATAATTCTTTGGCGAAAATTAAGCTTGGTTCCTTAATTCTGAGGTAACCTGTTCATCTGGATAAATGCCTTACAGATTAAGGCACAGTTAGAAGAAGAAGAAGAAGAAGAAGAAGAAGAAGAAGAAGAAGAAGAAGAAGAAGAAGAAGAAGAAGGAGGAGGAGGAGGAGGAGGAGAAGGAGGAAGAAAGAGGAAGAAGAAAGAAGAAGAAGAAGAAGAAGAAGAAGAAGATCCCCAGGGATATCGAATAGTGCTGAAATTTCGTTTCTGCCTACCTATCCCAGGTTGGCGCAGACAGGTACGCCGGGGGGGGGGGCAGAAATTAACATGAATAGATTGTCAGACAACGAGCAATGGTTGGAGGCCTGTGAATAGACTAAACAAAAAGAAAGTAAATTAAAAATAACAGATTGTGTTTAATCGTGGGGAGGAGTGCGAATAAGCATGATAGTAAAATCATTGTCTTGTGCAAAGAATGTACATTTAGAACGAGGAAGGAAAGGAAACAGATGAGGGAAACGTAGAAAAATAAATATCAGGGAAATGTAGAGGAAAATATAAACATTCAGAAAATATTGGAATGAAAATGTATATTGAAGCTTTTGATGAGATAGATAGATAGATAGATAGATAGATTTACGCACGTAGAGAAGCGAATATTCCATCTATCAATAAACCAGATGAAAGTATTAAAGAAAAAGACAGGAAGATGGGAAGGTAGACAGTCGGATAAGAGGTTGATCAAAAGGCATATTAGTTTGAATGGGCGCATGCGTAAGTACATCAGTGGCAGTAAGATAAATGAGAACATATGCATACAATCTATCTATCTATCTATCTATATATATATATATATATATATATATATATATATATATATATATATATATATATATGTGTGTGTGTGTGTGTGTGTGTGTGTGCGTGCAGTGAGTGCAGGTTGTTCAAAGTTAATAATTTGGTAAGTACGCTGCAAGTACATATATATATATATATATATATATATATATATATATATATATATATATATATAATTCAGATACAAAACATTCTATCAATGCTTAACATGATATATATTCATTGACAAGAATGTTTTATATCTGAGATTATATATATAAATGTATATATATGTACTTGCAGTGTACTTACCAACTGATTAAATCTGAACAATTCACACTCACACACGCATACAAACACACACAGATATATATATATATATATATATATATATATATATATATATATGCTAATAAAAACAAATTCAAAACAGTTTTCATAGAGAAGAATCCCTATAATATCTTTTAATCTATTAACGATCTTGCAGTGTAACGAATGCCAGTAACATAATACTCAGAGTTACGATTTGCATTGGAGTCCCTCAGTAAAGTTTGCTTATTGTTAGTGTCATTGCACTTGATTCATTTTCTAGAGGCATTGAGCACTTTACGTTGGTGTATATCTGTCTTTTTTTCTGTCTTTCGTTCTTTAATTTTTTTATGTTTTTATGTATTATTCTTTGGCAGATTTGGTAATGATTCTCTGACACTTTACCAAAAGTTTGGTTTATATATATATATATATATATATATATATATATATATATATATATATATATATATATAATGGAGAACTGCTCAACGCCTGGACATAAGAATTAAACAGCATATTCCCACCAATATCATGAATCACATCTTATCTTTGAATGGACATGGCCGAAGTACCAATGGTTCCGCCATACGTGAGCACCTCTTAAATAACAGAGAGTTTGCAGCTAATTTTAGTGCTGATTGGTTCACTGTTCTGTCCCGTTCGCATTCGTCATTTTATCGCAAGGTGCTGGAGGCACTTTATATCGGGTCCCGCAAACCTTCTCTGTGCAAACAGCGTGAATGTTTGGTGGGGCTTGCTGTTACTTGTCTCTAGCTCCTTGTGTTCAATTTTTCTTCCCTTCTCCTTCTCATTACACATTTTCTGTTGTTTTTAATTTCAGTTAAATCTCCCGTAGAGGCCTGAAGAGCGGGAGCAAAACCGTTTACTTCGCTTTTAACATGTCTTGCAATATTAAGCTACACACTTTTTATTTCTGGAATTAAATTTTCTACCTTCAAAAAATATTTTCAAATATATATATATATATATATATATATATATATATATATATATATATATATATATAGATAGATAGATAGATAGATAGATAGATAATATTAGTGGTAAATATACACATACATATGCAAAATATATAGATATATATACATAGGTGCATACACATATATGTATATTTTTTTGAATAAAAAATTCCGAGAGGATAGAATCCAGGTAGAACTCAATGTCCAGGACAGAGTAAGGATATAATAAAAAGGCTTGTCATACTAATATTCCATGTGGAATTTATTCCAATGGAATAAATTATGATTCCATGGAATATTAGTGTTTAAGCTTTTTTATATATATATATATATATATATATATATATATATATAGAGAGAGAGAGAGAGAGAGAGAGAGGAGAGAGAGAGGAAATGGTACTGAAAATTTCAAGGCTGGACCAAATAAGGCTTTCTTCAAAAAATTCTATTTGGCCAGATTTTGAGAAGAGTTCGGCCGGAGAATTTTTCAATACCTGCTTATGTATAGGCAACAAAAGGTCTTGTCATTCGAGCAAAAACTGCATAAGAACGCAAATTATCACAAAACATTCATATTTGCTGAGGTTTGATCCCTGCTGGAGGGCGCTTCTTTTCTTTCTATTTCTCGATTATTTAATCCGATAGACGAAAATAAAGAAATATACAATGCCATAAATAAACGTAGCATCTACTCAAATATTGCTATCTAATAAAAATATCGTTCAAATGCTAAAATTTGTGGGATTAATAAATAGCGCTTAAAAGCACTTTTCGGCATTGCTCGATGGGCGAGACACTTGGTGAACGTGTTGGTCTAAAGCAAGCCGGATCTAATGACGATGTCGCCTGCTAAGGTGGACGCAGATTCAAAATCAGCCGGTGGGCATGCCAGTTTTTAATGAGATTTTTCGAAGATCCCAGTCGATAGATAAAAATAAATGGATATACTATTTGATAAATAAACGGAGCGTCTATTCAACTGTGGTTATCTACTAAAATTAACGTTTAATGCTAATTAACACACACACACACACACACACACACATATATATATATATATATATATATATATATATAATATAAAGAATATAGTCTTAAGGTGTGCTATATTTATGGGATAAAGTGCTCAATATCAGAGATAGAGCGTGTGTAAATATAAAAGTGAACATAGAAGTCAACACTTAGAGGCGACAGTCTGTTTCATGTTATATGCAATCGTCAGGCCTGACGATTGCATATAGCATGAAACAGACTGTCTGACGATTGCATATAGCATGAAACAGACTGTCGCCTCTAAGTGTTGACTTCTATGTTCACTTTTATATTTATATATATATATATATATATATATATATATAAACTGGACTCTTCCATCGTTTTCGACTTATGATTACAGAATCTCAGTTACTATCCAGGCATATGATAGTGAGGAAGACTTGTGTAGATCCAGCCACAGTTTTTTGGACAAGCCGAATACAAAGAACTAATGCACATAGAGTACCACAAGTTCCCCCAACACCAGCTTCACGTTTTGAATCCAGAGTTGTCCTTCTTATTGTCCGGTTGCCACCCAAGGCAATAGGATTCAGTCTGTCCCGCTATTTACCCATAGCTGGGGAGAAGTGGCGGTGTATTTGTATGTAAGTTAATGTAACGCATTCGCTATCCACACACACACACACACATATATATATATATATATATATATATATATATATATATATATATATATATATGTATGTATGTATGTATGTGTGTGTGTGTAAATCTATATATATTGCAATTATGTATATATATATATATATATATATATATATATATATATATATATATATATATATGTCGTTTATTGGGGTGCTGAAAACTCTCAATCTTGATCAAGACGCTTTTCACATAAAAGAACTTCGGTTTGGTTAATTAATTTTATTTTATAAAGTGGGTCAGACTGAAAACTTTTTGCACACGCAGACAGATAGATAGATAGATAGATAGATAGATAGATAGATAGATTTAATGCGTATGTGATAAGAGGAAAAGCAATAAAGTGTGACAAATAGACCAGGAAAGCAGGTAGTCTTTAGAGAACTATACATGGTTATGAAGAGAAAAATAAAAAGAAAGTAAAAAATAAAAACATTCCCTTACCGAAAACGCATTAGGTCGGCCACGATACGTCTCTTCACATTACATTGATCAAAGCGTTTTGAATCTCGGTCGCCATCTTTAAGATGGTCAGGTCAGTCCAACAGATACTTAAATATTCAGCTGTTCTACAGACGGTAGCTTCGCAATGGGATGGATCGACGCACTTCTTTTTCTTTTATTACTTTCACTTTCCCTTTTCCTACTTTCAACTTCTTAATATCGCTTCCTCATCTATCAATACACAGCACAATTGACTTTCGAATATCTCTGCTGCTCGTTTCACTTCTTCATCTACTCTTACTCTCCTATTAGGTTTGCATTACTCTCCATTTTTATTCAAAGTTTTTCATATATTTTTTCCTTGTTATTCCTGCTTTATAATCTTCTCCTCATACTAAACTTTTAACCTCTTCTCGTTTTATTCGCATCTTCTATTTCCTACTCACGTTTATCCCGTCTCTCCCTGTCTTTTAAACACACACACACACACACACACACACACAAACCTTACTTAAACGTCTGTCTTACGTCGTTTTAATCTTTTCCCTATCTTGTTGCTTGAATATACAGGTAAAAGGTACATCTTTCAAATAACCTAGACTCGTAAAAAGTGACAAAGGACAGTCACGTTTGATTAGTCAAGTTTGGTCTTGCATAATCGCAGAGACAATCTGAAGCTCCTAAATGAATAAAAGCCTAAAAAGCTATTTCAGTTTCTAGATATTGATAACAAGAGTTATTAAATGGAAAAGGCACGAAACTAAACTTTCCTTTGCTATAATCTTTAGCCGTGATAATGGATGAACAGAATCAATAATGAACTTGCCTAACAAAAAAAAATAGTATATATTTTTCAAAAACCGATTTCATATATCCTGTCACTCTCACTATCTTATTATTTTTTCCCTTTCGCATGCTTATTTCTCCCTCTCTCTCACTCACTCACTCTCTCTTTATTTCTGCTTTTTCTACACCATTTTATGCATAATTTGATTTCTCGTTCGATATTGTTAGCTCTCTATTAGTAATGTCTCACTTACTATTCCTGATTGAAAGATCTCTCCTTCATCTTTCCCTTGCTCTCTTTCTTCATTTCTCTCTTTCTCTCACATTCAATCTCTTCATTATATAACTCTTACTTGATATTACTTTTTGTTCTTTGTCGTTATTTATTCACTTGTCTTGTATTTCTTACCTTCTGCCTATTTTTTTTCACTTTTCTGAGTCTGTCTCTCTATATCCCCGATTTCATTCCCCTCCTCTCTCTCTCTCTCTCTCTCTCTCTATTGCTTTATCAATCACTCTCTCAACTTCTACTTACAACTCCCTATATCTGCCTGCTTATCATTATCTTTCTGTACTGATTTCAGTATCACAGTAGATATCAGAGTTTCAATAACAATTAGAAAACTCGTTTCAAAGACAATTTTTACTGGAAAACAATTTTATTACCTCATTATTCTGGCCTTGTGCCAAACTATATTTAGCCTAATAAAACAGATGAAATTCTGTGATATAACGCGTCTCACAGAATTAACCACTTTATATCTAATTTATATAGAAAGAAATAATTATTTTATATAAAAAATGTATTTGCTGAATGATAACAAATTTAAGTAGTTTGGGCGTAAACAAACGCCAGTAAAAACTTGTCTTGAGTTTCCGTCCGTCAAATGAATAGGCAAGTTTAAATTTTTCGAAGAGTTCGTAATGCTAAGTTGGCGAAAATGAAAAAAAATGTTTAAAATCTTTCAGAGCTTGCAAATTACAAAACAACCCCAGAAATTACAAAAATGATTGAAAGGTTCCACTGAACTGTGAAGAAGTGTGTTGAAGATCATTAAGTAGTTTGATGCAAATCTGATCAGGGCAAAGCCGATCTAAGTTCCGGGGCATGAATGATTTTTTTTTTTTAATCCGTTTTTGATAAGTTATAAAAATGTTTAGTCTTTGTCGTAAGGAAAGTCCTTAAGCAATTGGCAAAAGGAATGCGACAGATCACTAGGCGTTCTTTAAAAGACATGCATTAAAATGTTCCTTTTTCTTTTGTTTTTCACCAAAAATGCTGTGCTACTCGCGATGCTCCAGAGGAATGAAGTAAAGTTTGGATGACTTCTGGCAGAAAGCGTCCTCTCAAGTCGAGATATCACAAGGCAAGCTGATAGATTGTTTGGAGGTGGGATTATAGCAAGTTAAGAGGTGGTCTCATGACATGTTCTAGATGCTGTTAAGATGTCAACCCAAATATGCATTGATTTATACACGACGATTGTTCATTGAAATTGCTAAACTGGTGAATATCTGAATAAAATTGGGTTCGGTGACAGACTATTAAAGAATGCAAAGAACAGACAAGAATGGAAAATCCTGCTAAACTTTGGCAAACTGAACTTAATAGGCGTGTATTGAACCGAAATTGTCTTTATTTTTAAGTTTTTATATGAGTGGAAAAAATGACAAAAACCGGGATTTGGATGATAGCCGTAAAGCTTTCCCTTTCCAGATTCTTTTATGTGCTGTTGTTTCAACAAAGATACAAGCCACCACGTGGGAAGGATGAGAAACTAACAAACATGTTGACATCCTTTCGAGCTATTTTTCTTCCAAGAAGCGATATCTACTATGTTACACCCTGTCGAATTAAAAATAAAATTGTCTATCGGTGATTGAGCCTGTTGATGCAGCCGTGGGGTTTTTAGTCTATAGGAATTGCCTATAACCAACGACACTACAGAACGATACGCAAAGTATTAACACATTGTATGAAGTTGTCATGCTGTTTGCTCGAGTTTACCTCGATTGAAAACTTGTATAATATTTTGAAGAGGAATATTTACATTGACGAGCGGCAATTTTCTAAAAATCTCATAAAATCAGTAATGGACGACGTCTAGAACTAATTTTAAACATGGATAATGCATTTCGCATTAATGTTGGTTTTATAAACTTGTTATCATTATTTCATTATAATAATTTGTTTCTATTTTTATTCAAGTTTTTGAAAATTTTGTGGAAGTTTTGCAATTATGATTTTAATTGCATCATCATTTTTGTTGGTTTTGCAATAACATTGATAATAGCGAAACTTGGAAAATTTGTTAAAATTCATAAAATTCTTGTCACGGTGACATGTTGTCCATTATAATTTATACATATGTGAAATATTTTACTCAGTATTTATTGGAAAAATTAATATTAAATGTCGCTAATAATTTGTGATGCAGTTTAGTTACTCATATTTCTACCTCTGCCAGTGTCCGATATTCGAGTAGAAAGCAAGATTTCGAAAGCTGATTTTCAAATTAGGAGAGCCCTCCCGATCTGACGTATTGACGGAGTACAGTCTTTCAACCTTCATTTTCTTTCTGACTTTCAGTGGATCAAACCAAATCCAGTAAATATTAACTAGATTCACGATGCGAAAACTAAATATTCTCTCTTTCTCTCTCTCTCTCTCTCTCTCTCTCTCTCTATATATATATATATATATATATATATATATATATATATATATATATATATATCAAAGTGTAGGAGAACGAACAGTAGGACTACAGCGTTCAGAACATTAATTTAAAAATAGTGCTCAATACATAAAGTAGAGCCGTAAATACTTATTTATCTTATGCAGTGTTACATTAGAACATGCACATATCCACTACAAAATTGTACATTTTTGTTTCAACGTCAAAAAATGGAAAATCTTTTTTAGACGTCTCATCAGGTGGGAAATTACGGTGTTACTAAACTATTAAACTAGTAAACATCAGGTGGGAAATTACGGTCTTACTCAACTAGTCTCATCAGGTGGGAAATTACGGTCTTACTAGTTTTTTGACGTTGAAACAAGAATGTACAATTTTGTAGTGGATATGTGCATGTTCTAATGTAACATTGCATAAGATAAATGCACGCACACACATATATCTTAATCTCACTATACTTCTTTGTTCTTTAATTTTGTGCTATATTTCTTCAGGACCTGGGCGCACATGGCTCTTCACATCTTCCTTTAGTCTTTTGATCACAACCGTCTTTACAATCCTTCTTTGTGATACTTGTTCCTACATCCATTTCAGTTTGTCAAGTTCTTTACTCACAGCTTTACACAGCTTCTCTTGCGTTGATATTTTCTATGATCGTTAAATTCGCCAACCTTTCTTTCCTTATAATCTGTCCTTAAATTTTCAGCAACTTCTTTTCTTTTTTTTTTACTTTTCGCAACTGTTGCTGTGAACTTATTGCCTCCCTTAGAGAAACTTTCTGGTTTATCTATATTTATCACTTTCATATCAGTAAATGTTTCCGTTTGCCGCCATAAACGTATGTCTAAAACGATGCGGTCTACTTTTTTTTTTTTTTGATTTTTTGGAAAGGGGAAATTTAGAGAATTTCACAGCTTCAAACTCTGAAAGCCTTACACAAGGATAAAGAGAGACAACAAAGTGCCACATGGAAAAGATCGGTGTCCCCCGGGTGGCTAAATGTCAGGCTTCGACCTTTTTCAGACATATGGCCTGACTTACACTTTCATAAACTCTTCCATATATTTGGAGAATAACGCCTTCCGAGGGGTTTTGCTTAGCAGCAAGGCGCCGAGCGATGAAAACTTTTCAAGTCTACAGTCTCTCCTGTACAATGGAAATAACATTCGCATATATTTTATGTAAGTGTGTGCGTGCTGAAAAGTTCTAGGTCCGACTTGAAAAAACTTTAAAGAATTCCGATGGTTAGGCATTTTTTTCAGTCAGATTTTGGGAAGTCGGTCGATTTGTGAACGTTACAGTACCACTTCCAACAGGTATAAGTGGAGTAGAAGGACTGAATGTGCGCCTGGACAATGGAGTTCGAATTCGGTACTCACTTCACATATTCTATTGATGAGAATTAAGTTCCTCTCGAGCAGTTTCTTCCCACGAACTGCTGCATTATGGAACCTTCTCCCAAGAGGTTGATTTCCCGATCACTGGGGGAAGCATAGTTAGCATGTTCAAATCTAGAGTTAACCGGT